TTGATCACGCCGTGGAACAGGAAGCCGCAGGCGTTTGACCCCAGCCTCACACTCCAATGTGCAACCGAGAGCACACGCCTCTACATTGATTGACACCAAACCCACTGTATTTGTGCTAACAACTTTTTTCATTGCTGCTGGGGACATAATGGGATCTTGTTGTGAACCTTGGTGGCGGCGTTGAGGAAGCGGAGGGCTACGATCCGGTGCTGGGAATCAACCAGGGCATTGAGGGAAGAAGTGACAGCCAAACTGTTCATAAGCATCCAAGAACTCCAAGCCCACGAGTCTATCTTCATGGTCCAAGTCCACAAAGATGTCACAGCCATTAAACTCTTCTAGATCTTGTTGATAAATGAGACCAGGATAGATCTCTACAAGTTGGACATAGGCAATGTCAGCATCTGCTGAGTATCTCAACATCACTTGGTGCCACCTGCCAAACACAAACCATGATGAGCAGGTTTTAGAAAAGTGTTGTGTTGTTGTTCACCTCTACGCACCAATGCTCTTGCTTGCCTGAGAGGTACACTATTTCTGTTTGAACCAACTCAATAAGAGGCCTGCCCTGTGGTTGTGTGGAGGCAACCTCCATGCTGTGTACTGGCCGAGGCAGAGACTACAGCAGAATTCCCCTGTGAGGATTTTCCTTTGTTGGGCTGCTTGCGCTGGAGAGTACTGCCTTCAAGCGGTTGCGAGACCTCCCTACTGCGTATTCACCAAAGCAGAAACAGAACGCATTTTTCCTTTTGAGTAAGCTGGCAAATGTTTGTTGTTGAGACATCTTTGTTGTTGCCCCGGGTGGAGGACCAATAAATAGAGGAGGAAGCAGTGGGTGTGGTGTATGTATATGTACATCGCCTGCGGATCCGCTCAGCGCGGCCAAGGTAGCTCTCACCGTGGCCGTGCAGGTGGCAGTACGTGCGAATGTGGTGTGCACTCTTGAATCATTGGCCGGCCGCCAGTGGAGAGAGCAGGTCGACGACACACTCGTAGGTCAGGAACATGATTGCCGCATTGGGAATGACCTGTGCAGAAAGGAGAAAACGTGAGTTCAGCTGCGTGCGTGGGGCGTGTCGTGTCGGTGGTCGTGTCGGTGGTCGTGTCGTTGGTCGTGTGTGGTGTGTCAATGATAAGGTGACATGCGATGACGGTACCTTAAGAAGATGAGGTCCAAGTCCGCCGTAGAGGCCGGCCACGCCCTCTTCCTTGGCAATGAGCCTGACGGCCTGCACCAGGCCCGTGTACCTCCGCTCCTTGCCCCGCTGCTCTCGGAACCGCGTCCGGAGCACCTCGTGCGGGTACGTGATGACCGACGCAATGCCCTTCGCGCCCGACGCGATTCCCAGGTACTCCACCGGCGAGAGTCCTTGCTCTGTCGCACCCCACAAGTGAACAATTGCGGAAAGAATGAAAGTCAGCACTCGCGCCGCGTCAAGCGAGAATAAAGAACGAAGAACGAAGGTGGTGGTGGAGACGCGTTACCGCGAGATGATCGGTGCGTTCGGGAGAGGAGGAGCTTCTTGCCCTTTTCGTACAGACTGAACTGGATGGCCAGTCCTGCCATGCCTGTGGTCGATCGACGCACGTACAGATCATCATGATGTGAGTCACACTTTGCGTTTGCGTTTGCGA